ACCTAATTGATAATTGGCACCTGATTCGGTATTCACATGTACAATATCTTTGTGTACTTTTAGCAACTCCTTTTCATCGACATGTTCTTTATTTAGACGAAAAGTATCCGTGCATGTTTCTAGAAATTTTTGTAAAATTTCTAGCTTTTTTTCTACAAAAAAGATATTTTAAGTTGATACACATCTTAATTTGTTATAACGTACTTTACTCATTTGAATTTTTCCAAATCTTATTTCATAGAATAATCGCTTCATTAAATATCTATTATCAAAGTTCTTCCTTTGGAATGTATACATTCCAAATAATCACAAGTCGATTTTCAATTCATAAAATAAAAAAAAATGAAATCATATTATGCCGGGTACCGCAATCTAAACATGTGGGTTAATCCCCCTCTTGAACGTATCTGGTTTTACGCCTCTGACGACGTTACTTTCTGCTTCTCACAAGGGAATGGTCAAAAGTGGGTGATAAAGTTGCTTGTCCAGACTACGTTTATTCGAAAGAGCATGAAACGAGGAGATTATGGTGCAAATTTTGGGTGCCATTGGCAACGGGTTCAAAAGTTATGGGACTTTGAAATTTTCATCCACTTTTGACCATTCTCTTGTCAGAACGGTATCTGCCTTTGTCGGCAGCTTTGAGTTTTTTTTCCTTTCTTTTTCCTTTCTTTTATTTTATTACATTATTATTAGCTTAATCACGTCTTTTCAGGTATCAGTTTTCCTTCATTTACTCACGTCTTATATTGTTTGTCGTAAAACAGTTAATTATGCCAATTTCTTATTCGATTCTCAAGTGGTTTTAGATTATTTGCAAGTACCTGACACTAATAACTTAACCTAAAAGAATAGTAATCATTCGCATCTTTAATCATAGCCTCTGTTCTTACTTTCACAGCTTCATCTCTGATTTTGCACTTCTCGAATCCATAGCTGCTACTGTCCGAAATCATTTTCCCTCTTGATTAGTTTTCTTCTCTATCAGTTCGATACATAAACCACCTGTGTATGCGTCGACTACAGCATTTAGACTTCCGCAGTTTCAGCACGTCACAAAGAAAAAACAGCCGGAGAATCAGCAGTACTCTCACTCAAATCCCTTTTTCCTTTTTATCCACACTTAGTTTATACACTATCACTCGCGCAGTTGAAGCGTGCTGGGCTCATAACCTTTTGAAACTATTGTTGGGGTTAGGTCACCATAAAAAAGTCTGTATGCAATTAATATATCATTATTTAACGCGTCAGATCCTCTTAAAGCTCTCGAGCGGACTGCTCGACCCTTCTTTTGTTTTAGCCGAAAACCGCGCCACACCACTACTCACTTCTAGAACCGGTAAGAGTAGGGGAAAGCACTCGCATCCTATATGTATGTATATGCATGATCACACATAGGCGGATCAAGATTCTAACAAAAATTTTGAACAGCTTTTTCGTATATTATATAACCGCCGCTCGGCCTTCAATGTAACAGTTTTGACACTTTTTCGAAAGTATCTCAAAAACTAACGATAAGGCAAGACGCCGGTTATATGTAGGGGAGACCGGGGACAAAAGTAACATTTTTATCCGATTTCGAAAAGGAGGATACTCAATCCGATGTGTATATTTTTTTTTATGTATGTTCGCCGATTACGCCGAGACAGATGGTCCAATCGGAACGAAATCTTTTGCATCTGGTAGAGTATGTCTCCCAATTGGTCCCGTTAAAAAAACATTTTGCATTTTTTCATTCCTGACGGTTTTAATTGCAAAAAAACGTACTATTTCATGTAAGTTCAGCGTATGTTCACCGATTACTCTGAGACGGATGGACCAATAGGAACGAAACTTCTTGCATCTTGTAGTGTATAATTCCCCATTGGTCACGTAAAAAAAATATTTTGCAATTTTTTATTCCTAACGACTTTTTTTTCTTAATGTATGTTCGCCGATTACTGCGAGATGGTTAGACCAATCGGAACGAAACTTTTTGCATCTTTTAGAGTATGTCTCCCGATTGGTCCCGTTAAAGAAACATTTCGCATTTTTTCATTCCGAACGGTTTTTATTGCGAAAAAACGGGAAGTTTCTGCGAACAATTTCTGGGATTTATTACTCGTACTAATCGAGGCCTACCTGTACCTATATGTATAATAACTATTGTTATTGCAAACTCTATTCTTTAGCGCTACTCTGCAAGGAATGCACCGATCGCAATGAAACTTTTAACATCTTCTAGATCTTTCCACGATGATCCCATTTGCTAAAATTTATGTAACTTCTTATTGTTAATAACTATTGTTATTACAAAAAAACTATTCTTTAGGGTTACTCTGCAAAGATGGTATCGATCGCGATGCAACCTTTCACATCTAATCGGAGATATTTTCGTGATGATCCCAGTTGCAAAAATTTGTGGAATTTGTTATTGTTAATAACTATTGTTATAGCAAGAAACCTATTCGCTGGTGTTACTCTGCAAGGTATGTACCGATCGCGATGAAAGCTTTTCAATCCAATAGGAGATATTTCCGCGATGAGCTCGCTTTCAAAAATGTATGGAATTTATTATTGTTGATAACTATTGTTATAGCAAAAAGCCTATTTCTTGGTGTTACTCTTGTCACGGGCAATGTGTTTAACATGGGCATTTTGTAAAATGACCGGGTATTGCGTATAATGTCCGTTCAAAAAGACATTGTGCAAAATGTCCGTAACAAGTTTCGGTCAATCTATAAAATGTCTGGTCATTATACAGAATACCTAGAAGGTGGTGGTCAATGTATTGAAACGCTCTTATTACATAGATGGGATAGGTTAAATTAGGCTACATATTAGGAAACACATATACCGCTGTAAGGTGGCCGACAACGCTTTCTTAAGACAATAGTTTTGTTTGAATAATAACGAAAGCGATCCGGCCGACTTATGGCGGCTGGATTTAAATGTGTGGCCTATCCTAACCTATCACATCTATGTGTGGTTTTAATAATAATAATAATAATAAGTTTAATGCCAACGAACCGTGGGTATTATATAAAATGTCCGGGCCATTTGTGAAATACCTACCCATTATATACATTGCCCAAAAAAATGGGCAATCTACACAATGGCCGGTCATTATACAAAATGTCCACGTTCAACACGTTGCCTGTAACACCTTTCACATCTAATGGGAGATATTTCTACGATGTTCCCACTTGTACACATTTATGGAATTCGTTATTGTTAATAACTATTGTTGTTGTAATTATCCAATAAGAATGGTAAACCACCTTACGGCATCCCACAAATACTGCTCGTTCCACTAGCAAGTGTGAAATAAAATAATTTTTAACAAAAAAAAAACTGACTTCGAAATGCACTAAAAAGTGTAAAATAATTTCTATTTCATTTATACCAGTATTCCACAGCTATTAATAAAATCTACTTAATTGTTAAATAGGATACTAAATACATTTCAACCTTTTCGGAGGAGGCGCAAAATTAAAAATACCCGAATATACGATGCTGCCAATAACGATTTGATTGCGTTAAGGCAAACTTGATAATTAATAAGTCGTAAGAAATAAACTTGGTAATTAATAAATCGTAAGAAAAAATGCGGAACGTTATAGGTACGGCCGAAAACATTTGTAATTTTCACGATTGTATTAGAAGTTGGCAGCACTTTTGATGTAAATGTAGTTAATCTGCACTGGGTATGTTGATTCCCGTTGAATATTTTTAACTTGAAATTATTGAATCAAGATCTTCCGAGTGGAAGAAAAGTTTTTAATTTTACGCCTCCTCCGAAAAGGTTGAAATGAATTTAGTATACTATTTAACAATTAAGTAGATTTTATTAATAGTTGTGGAATACTGGTATAAATGAAATAGAAATTATTTTACACTTTTTAGTGCATTTCGAAGTCGGTTTATTTTTTGTTAAAAATTATTTTATTTATGTTTGGCTTTATTACCAGTGAGTGTTAAGAGCGAATTTGAAAAAAGTTATACCCACATGTAGCCTATATATTCCTCTATAAAGTCCTGGTATCCAGGACGAAAGTAACACACTATGGGGTCGAAAGTAACACTACGAATAGGGACATAAGGAATTAGATACCAATGCAACACATGTTACACAAAGTTTTATCTTTATTGCAACAATCAATATAGCCTCTGAATAAATTATACATATAATATTATAGGAACTTTGTTAATTTGTTATCAAAACTTATCCCAAAGATAAGTTTTAACTTTTAACAGCTTATATAAAACACGGTTATAAAGTCTACAAACAACTTATGAAATACCATTATAGCACAGATAAGTCTGCTCACCTTCAGTACAGTTTTCATGAGACCAACCCTTACATTTCATGCACTAAAACGTGTTACTTTCGTCCTCGAGACAACGTGTTACTTTTGTCCCCAACCACGTTTTTTAAGTTTGAAAATTAATAATTTGGAAAGTATATCGACGGTATCTGAATCAAAGATCTGGTTAGGTTAATGCACTATTTAAGAATACATAGACACCTGTTTGCCTCAGAATCTCGGCATTGCCTATCGTTTACTACAAAAAACTTGAAAGGAGAAAAACTTACTTGGTGGCTATTAAATCACAAAGGTTAGGTTAACAAAAGCAGTTCAGGCGGTAACCCGGTGTCGACTGACTATAAAGGGAGGGGGTATGACTGTGTCTCCCACTATAGTGATAAATCTTCCTGAGGACATTACATGTGGACTGAGGGGGGGTTACTTTCATATCGCGTTACTTTTGTCCCCAGTCTCCCCTACAGGAGAAGGTTGTTCAAAATGTTGATTTTTACAACATACTTCAAAATTATCGAAATCAGAGGTGCTGTCCGCTTTCTATATAATTACCATAATTATGAAGTAAGCAAATTTTTTATTTGCCATTTCTGGAGTTTAAAATACCAAACGAAGAAATGAGGGGAATCTGCGTCATATCGTCTCTACCAGAGTGACGCCCCTGACAGTAATACATACTTTTATTTTTGTTTCAAGTGTATGATGCGACGGCCAAAATACCATCCGGACTCCTGAACGGAAACATAAATCAATTTGGTGACTTCGACGAATGCGTTGAAATCCAAGGAAGCGAGGGAATTCAAGGACAATATTGCTTAACATATCTTCAATTGAGCATCGACGAGTCACGTTTAGATCTCAAGCACCTCCATCGCCTTTTGCATTCACACTATGCTTTCAGAAGTAACATTAGTGATGTAAGTACGTATATGCATATATTTTTCCTGTTATATAAATGCAAAATATTTGATATTTATTGAGAATAGTTGATACCCATTCATTTTAACGATCTTAAAATTAATTGAAACCCCCAATATACTTTGGGACTTTTTGCAAATTATTCGAATTTTTAGCAGTTCATTGGGATTTCCTAGAACTTTTTTATACTTTCATGTGGTTTCATGATACTGCTTGAAATTCTTTGTCATTTCTTGCAGTATCTTTAGAATTCTGTAGAAATCTTTGCAACTTTAGAGAATCGTTTGAAGGATCTCTTAAAATTCCTGGGGATTTCTTTCTTTTTTCTGGGGATTCCTTAGAGTTTCGTATGATTTTCATGAAAGAACGTGAAAGAGCTTAGGATTTTTTAAATTTCTTACATTTTGGTTGACTAAAGATCACGGTGAACAGTGTTCTGATCACTGTCTCACATTTTTAAAGAATTTCTTGTGCCAAATCGAAACACAAAACAAAAAATGAACGAATTGCAATAATTCCAAATACAAGAAATTATTTACATCGAGAACACACAAACAACGGAAAGCATGGTGTCTTGATAATTGCATAAACGAAGTTCTCGCTGATGCCGCGCATACGGGTAGACTTTACCACAGAGTAGTTTGGTCCGCTTGAACACTAAAAAGCACCATACGCTGAGAAAAATGGTAGTTCTGTACAGTAAAAGGTACAGTAAAAGCTGGATATATGCAACAAACATTGGGACCCAGACGTTGCATATATCCAGTCGAGGTGTCGAATCTCGGGTTACACGCGACGACCAGCCAAGCGTGAACGTAGAAAAGGACAGACAGTGGTGGAAAGAGAGAGGTCCGATGATCAAAGGAAAGAGCCGAAACGTATCGGTGTGACTAATACTAATTCAACTATAAAACTTTTTTATCTTTGACTCTTTTTTACTGAAACTTTTACTAACGCATTGGTGAAATGTTTCTTATTAAAATGATACCAAACACGATATAGTTTGAATTATAATTACTTGCTAAAATTGTTCAGTACGTCTTCGCGGAAAGAGGATACCGTTGTGTAACGCGGATTCCATCACCGGAAGGTGCGTACTTCCTTACAACCTTTTACCCTTGCAAGGAGAATAATTTTACACTGAGACTTAAGCTAAGTCGTTAAAAGCAGATATGTTTAATTCGAAGATGTTGTACAAATGTTTGTGTGTGTTTTGAGAACTAATACCTCAGAGGTATGTTAAAACTGAACTGTGAAGCTACGTCGGAGTGTATCATTAAGACCGTGTAGATTGACTTTAAGAAAGCTGACGAAGTGATCAGATCTGAGGATCGACAGTACGTGAACTCGAGTCTCGGTGTCTCGTTCCAAGTTTTGTATTCTCCCTCTCCCGGGTCTTACGAACGGTCAGCAAGGAGCCGCAGGGAGGTGGTCACTGGACATTTCTCATGTAAGCTAGCCGAAAACCCATCGGCTGCGGTGCACGTGGGAGTCTTAAGGTGCGTGTTTGCACAGAACCGGCGATATCTTCCAGGCAAGAGCGACTGATGGCTCAGGTATAGGCTGTGTGCCAGATGCGAGCGACTATGGGCTCTGAAGGCCTTTGTGACCGGTGGTACCTGGGACAGAGCGCAAGGCGGTTCGAACCCTGTCGGGGTTGGTAGATCTCACAAGACACATGCACAGCAGGGGGTCCGTTTAAGACCCGGATGAGGAGTTAGAATTTAAGTAAAGTGAATGGCAAGACCTCGTAAAGGATTGTAAACTGCTCGTCGTGAGCGTTTGAAGACAATGCGAATGCCAAATACTGACTTTACTGGCCTTGTACTGTAGAAGGTCTGTATACTGTTGGACCTTTTGGAGTTTTATGGTGATTGATTCGGTACGTGACAAAATACTACTCCAACCAGCTTAAAAAGGTTTCTAGCAATTAGACAATGTGCTATTGAACATGACTGGCCGTGCTTCTAAATTGATGTAGTAAATTCATCGGTTCATGAATTTACCGTTGTTACCATTTTTACCAGGTATATAGAAGGCAAAACGGACGATGTCTTACGGTGAGTTTATTGCTCTCGATAGTTAAACCCGTAAGATTGTTAAAAGTATAAGACTGCTATTACAGATCCGCGAGCGGCATCCTATGTCGCGTAACAAAAGTTGATGTTAAAAGTTGGCGAAAAGCAAGAGAGATCGAAATCAAAACCAGTCGTGGTGTCGGCTCTGGTTTCAAAGGTTTCATTTATCCAGGCGAGGTGTCGATCCTGGGCATTTAATGTTTCATTTATCCAAGCGAAGTGTCGATTCTGGGCATTTAATGTTTCATTTATCCAAGCGAGGTGTCGATTCTGCGTCCGTACACATGTTTTGTATTCAGCCGACATGCCGATTCTGTGCCCGTACACATGTTTTGTATTCAGCCGCCATGCCGATTCTGTGTCCGTACACATCTTTTGTATTCAGCCTACATCATTTATATTCAGTCGTGGTGTCAATTCTATGTTGTTTATTCTATTACTATTATTTATAAATATAATTCAAACTATATCATGTTTGGTGTCATTTTAATCAGAAAAATCTCACAAATGCGTTAGTAAAAGTTTCATTAAGAAAAAGTTAAAAATAAAAAAGTTTTATCATTCAATTAGTATTAGTCACACCGATATTACGGTCGGATCATATTACACGGTTTTCTCATCGAGCGGCTCGGTTCGTCTAGGGGGATCCCCCCAAGTGGAGGGGATAGCGATGTTGCATATATCCAGCCAAACTTTTGTTGCATATATCCAGCCTTTACTGTAATTTTTTATTTTACATAACGAGTACACACGTCAGCCGTATCTAAACCGTAAAGTTTTGGATCGACAAGTATACATGTCGAACGTAGTTAATTGATTAACAATGTTATCTTGTACCGCTTTTTTATCATCGAGCGCAGCGGCCAAGATGGGTGTAGTTTAAATCAATCACCGTTTTCTTGAAAAGTTGCGCGAAATTTCGCCCTTTTCTTTCTGATTCTGACAGTTTTTTAAAATCTTGCACAAAATCAAGATTTTAATTAAATGTACTTTTTTCAATCAGATCCTAGTATTTAAAAAGTTGTTAACATTTTAGTTTGCTTTATGCACTGAATATAATCTATACAAATCTGGTAAACTTTATAATTCATTTGAATTTCATCTTTCTCATCAAAGTTTTTAGAATCGTACAAGCGTTTTGCTTTGACGAATTTCTACAGACTTTAATATGAATATGATGAAACGGATTGCACTACATTAAACAACACTTTGTTCTCTAACCATGTACGTAAACAGTTTTTCAATTTTCGAATTCATGAAAACCGATTTTTGATCGCCGAAAGTCGTTTTGCCGCCACTGTGCGGCGGCCTGAACGTTGCTACGTATTCTAACCTAACCTAATCCATTGATTAGGTTTATTGATGATTGTAGAATACCTAAAAACGTATATTGCAAAATACGGCATTCTTTTTGTAACACCTTATCCATCGATTAGGTTAGATCAAGCTGTATCAATATCCTCGCCGCCGTTAGGCAGCCAGCCACTCAAACAGAAATTCAAAATCACTGAAATCGGTTAAGTATGTCTTTTAAGTCCATTTGTTGCTTGCCGGCCTTCGTAATGTGTTTATAGAATTAATACATGTACATTGAGTCCCATCGAAGTTGTCGCAGTGAAGTTGGCTACACATTCACACCGCGTCGTCGGCACCTCGCCCATCGGCTCACCGTCGCGGCGTGAATGTGTTAGTGCGCCAACTTCACTGCGACAACTTCGATGGAACTCAGTGTACAAGCAGTCACCCCATGCTGATACATGCTGTACGTTGCCAAGAACGTGGACGTATGAACAACATTCAATGTAGTAGTAGCACCAGTTTTTTGCGAAGAGTCCGCCTATCATATGTATAGGAAAAAGTTGTTCGGGATGACGACCTTGACAACATATTTTAAGGTCATCGAAATGGGAGATGGCTTCCTTATTCTAAATATTTACCAAGTTAATGAATTTAACTATGTCGTTCATAAAATAAAGTTTATAGCTTACAAAATTTTCATCAACCTTTAACGTTCATCAACATTAATTCATCAATGTCTAACACATGACACTTTAGACGCGAATAAGACAATCATTGCTACCTTCGATTCAAGCTGAGTTTCTTGCATAAAAATCAGTACAATATCTCTGAAGGTATTTAAAATCGGATGTACACACTCAAGGTTAATGAACACATTTTGAAAAGTATTATTAAATGATGTAAATAAAAATTTGTAGTTTTGTTTAAAAAACAGAACTTGGTCTCCATATCTTTTGAAATAATACTGTAAAGAAAAATTCGTTCGCACAGGAAAACATAATTATCCATTGTATCATGAAACTTCCATTTAAACTTTTTTTGTATCTGTTGGCCACAAAGCTTTGTACCTGGGTACCTTTATCCTAGATCAACACACTATCCCCACGGCGATAAATAAAGTTAATCACTATGTGCATGGGTGTAACATTATAGTTTATTATTTAACTTAATAGTTTTCAATAACACCACATCTAAGTGCATTCGAACAAAAGTAATGTAAAAAGAACATAATGCGTAATGCGTATTTTATAAAACAAAAAAAAATTAAGACGCCACGCATGACCAGTGCCCACAACCTTTTCTTGGACGCCATCACGCGCTCTTTTCGAACTCGGTTTGCTACTCTAACAGTATCACCAATAGTTATGGAATAACGGGACTGTAATACTTCAGTGTGTACAAATTTGTTGTGCCCTCAGGCGATTTTTGGGGTTTCGGGTTCTGGAATTAGAATTTACCGGTGTCCGAGTAACAGTCGAGAGTTTATTTCCAAAACGAGCTTTTTACAATCTGCCTCTTTTACAATTGTTCGTTCTTTTTATAATCTATCGCGTTGTGTGAAGATGACCAAAAAAGGTCGTGCTGCCCGGCGCGTGTTTTGCTAGCTTGCAGAGTTTCGCTAT